GGATGAAGTCACTGAAGCTGTAAGATTCTTGAAAAGCGACAAGACTGCCGGAATCGGTGAAATCCGCCATAAGATACTTCAACTTTCTGCAAACGGGGCGTGTGCTGGCTTACACGTGTCTGTCAAACTGCAGTGGCTACGGGGAAGACACCGGCAAGCTGGAAAACGGGAGTTGTTGCACCCCCGCTTAACTACAAAGACCACAGGGAGTGTTTTGTTTATCAGGGCATTACCTTGTTGAGCCTCCCGAGTAAAGTCTACACAAAAGTGCTAAAACGAAAGTGCCGCGGAATAAGTGACTCTGAAATACAAAAACATCAGTGTGGCTTCGGGTGAAGTTGAAGCATATCTGACCCGATATTCGCCGTACGCCAGGTTGTTGAGAAATCGTGGGAGTTCGCCTTTCTGGCTTATAATACCTAGAGAAAGCCATCGACGGGTCCCTCGCAGCAGTCACTGGGCATGCCTTCAAATATGAGATCTACCGCTGGTTACACGATCTACACAGTCACTGTATTTCGATAGCAGGTGCCGCATTAGGGTAAATGGTGTTACACAGAAGCCTTTCATCGTTGACACTGGTCTCCGCCAAGGCCGTATTCTGTTCACTCTCCTGTCTGTGTTGTATGTGCATAGAATAATCAGGAGCAGCCAAAGCAATGGGTGTATCGATGTAGGAGATGTAAAGACGAGAAGGTTGCAGTTTGCAGACGACCCTGTTTTATTAGCATCTTCTGAAACTGATCATCAGTACTCTCTAATAAGGTTCGCTGCTGAATGCGACGTGGCCAACATGCGTGTGAACGCATCTAAAGCGAAAAGCCTAGTGTTTCGTCGTTCGTTCTCCTGCTCGCTGCGCTCTTCAAAGTTCGTGGAACAGTTGGAGAATTTAGCCTACCTCATGTTTTGATTACTATCCATTGGAAAGTGGAAGAAGAGATCTTCCAGCGAATTGGAATGTCCAGCGGTGTTCTCCTTGAATTTGCCCGTGCCGTTGTGACTAACGCAGAGCCGAGTGTGTTGTAAACTTAGCTCTTTGTGTTAAAGTCAGACTTCAGACTAACTGAAGCAAGTTAATCCAGAGGGAATCGCGCTAGGTGTGTTGAGAATCACATAGCAGCGACTTTTCGAGATGATTTATGAAGTTTGTATTCTTTGTTCTCTAGGAATCACTGCAGTAGTGTTGCGGATCGTTTTGTTCTGACTGTTCGAAGAGACTCAAAAGGATGGTCACATGTTCAGAAGTATTATCGATTATCGGTGTACGATCACCTATGGAGGAAAGTTGAAAACTGTTTAGTTGATCGAAACCAGTCGCGCAGAGACTCGGGTTTTCCTCATGAAAGAAATACTATAAATTTGGAGAGAAACTTAAGAAAGGTAAAAAAATTGGTCCACGTAGAATGGCAGTCACTTCGCCTTGACTTTTCGGTGCAGTTTGAGAATTTTTTCGTAGTGTGAAAAGTTTCATATCCTAGCGTTCCTTGCTAGTCATTCTGTCGTGACAAGAGACTAATGAAGAAGACTACTGCAGCTGATTCAGAGGTGATCACTCCAGTAGTGTTGAGGTAAATTTCGAGAGAGGGAAGAAAACTTGAAAGAAGCTTTGATGGTTCGTCTGTAGGACATCACTTTAAAAGTAACGAACAGCACTTTTTTGCGACTTTTTGATCAAAGTATAATAGAATATTTACGGTCTGTCCAGAAATGTTCAGCAGGTTGCCGGAGCAATATAGGAACTAATGTCGCACTCCCGCAGTTGCAGTGATTATCCTTGCTTCCTCATGTTACAAAGCGTTGGGTAAAACACTGCAGTAGAAACAGATGCGTCACCGCAGTATGTCCTTTGAGTAATGTCTTGGTTAACGATGTTCATCAGATACGTATAACAGCTGTTTGTTTTCGGTATTGTCTGAACGAACGGGCATGGTTTTGAACACCTTGATTAACTCGCTTTCTGCTGAATTCGATGTCGTTATAGACGGTGTTCGCTTTGCTGTGGTGTCAAGTTTCGTCGTCCAGTGTCGAATCAAGCGTTCCCTGTTTGTGTTATTGCCTCCTATCCTTCTCTTGCTGTGTAATTCAGAATTCGCTTATTGTCGTTTCTCTCATGGTGTCAGTGATAGAAAATAAAATGTTTCGGTCCATCGAGCGGGATAACAAGTGATTAATTTTGCCGTTTCTTTTACAGAAAAAAAGTCGGCTAAACCAAATTTTCGCGTTGGGGGGTCAAAATATGCCATTTTCTAGTATTACGGTTCTGTACCAAAGCACGAATGCAAAATGGTAAATATTCTCATGTGAGCCATGCTTTTGAGGGACAGTGGTCATAGATTATTCTTACTATTATCGATAGCGATCCAGAAAGAATTAAGTTATAATGAGAATCTGTTGTAAGCGAAGCATATCCTTGCTCAGCGAAGCAAACTATGTAACTCGAGCATTATATCAGTGCGCACTTTCTTTGGTCATACTATTCTAGCTAACTTTAATCTTTTCTATTATAATGTATTTTGTATTAATCCAGGCATTTCATAAGTTTACTTATCTTCTGCCGTTTTACATTTACCGCTGTTTTTCTTATTCCGCTTAGTGCGTAACCTAATGATGACAGTGTAATTGCTCTCCGATGCATTTGCTTTTGATGGGTCTTTCGACTTCAAACTTTCTTTTTGCATATGGTGACTGAATTGGAAAATTTCTGTCTTAGAAGGTTTCTTCGTGAGATATTCAGTTTCCAACAACCTCATTGTCACAAATTTTAATGTGTAAAAAATTAATTGTTGAGTAGTTGACCCATAAACAGTGACGGCTGAACGGTTTCAAAGACTGATTTGTTTCAGCAGCATCGGTGTTCGGCATTATGCCGGTACACTTGTACATGTGTGTCTTTCGTGCGTGAGCACTGGCATTCTTTTTTCGACTGCTTTCGTTCAATGTATGTGAGGAAAAAATGTGATCTTGAAAACGCAGCCGGCTGCGCCACTATCACTAACCTGCAGTAGTCTGCTAAGCGAGCTCCAAATTGTACAGTAGGTGTCGAAAGCACGTTGTTGCGTTGATTTTTACGGCCTTATAAAAGGAGATAAACAGAAACCTATGAATGTGACCCTGCTAAATTCCGCAGGCGCGGTTAATACAGCAGTAAAAGTTTAAGAATAAAGCTGAAAATAGTCGTTTCAGGCCTCTAAGCTTCTGCGTAACTTCTTATTTGACAGATTTTGTCGTTCACTTTACCTCGAATATCGAATCGTCTGCGGGGGGGAGCAAACATGATTATTGCTAGACCACAGCTACGCTCGGGGATTCATGTCAGTATAAGTATCAAGCCAAAAACATGACTACAATTTTCAGTGTGATGCCGTCCTCGCCGCGTTGTTTCTTTGAATGTCGAACGCGGTGTAGCAGACACGTGATACGTTCCGAGTCCTGAAAGCGCGAAACTTTTTGAATACTGTTAAGTAGGTTAATGTTTCGCATATATCTATATCTTTTGGACTATTACCAAAGGTAGGCACAAAAATAAATGAATCATACGTAACACTGGTGTCAAGTATATAATGCTAATTGCTTATGTGATAGATTACTTGGGTAACGGATTCAATTCAGAACTATTTTCTACAGCAGGGTAGCGTAGCCGACTTTTCAAATTAAGCCACTGAACTTTTGTCAGTCCATCCCTTATCAATCAATCCAATCTTCAATCAGTCCCATCCAGCCGTGTCATTGCGCTGTTCGGGTAAAAGAAAGCCTTTCAAGTGGTCATGCCTTCTTTCCTGTACAGCTCTGACGATATCTTCTTTCACTAA